CTTACTCACAGGAGATCACACAATATATCCTTCACAGCAGGAGGCTTTAATTGAAGAACGGAAACGGTGGTCTCGTGAGTGATGTGATCGAGCTAATGACCTCGCCACGGTCCTTGCTGAGGAATATGAAGTTGGACTGAATTTACCTATTTACTGATGAGGCCAGTCTAGTAACCCGAAACCATCAAATCGACGTATATTCCGGAAACAAAGGACACTGGTCGCTAGCGTATCATGGCCAAGTGTGTTGATGCCTTGGTGCCTGAGGCGTGAAATTGACTCGTGCCTAGGGGGTGAGTAAGCTGGTAAACATCTGGACGCATTCCGCCCTGACGGGCCACTCCCCCGCGCCAGACAGCGAACCCCCTACCATGTTGACTTCGATTTGCATCCTTCGATTATTTGCTGAATACTGATTTCAACAAGCGATGGAAGAAACAATCGCCGAGCTACGACGTCAGCTTGAGGAGGAGAGACAGGCACGAGAGGAAGAGAGACAGGCACGAGAAGAAGCAGAGCGCCGTGAGGAGGAAGAGAGACGGGCGCGAGAAGAAGCAGAACGGCGTCTCCAACCCAACACCCTATTTCGCCTTCTCGATCGCTGCCATGACTCTCTGTCTCAAGCGATCCGAATCGAGACGGATGCGACCCTCACGACTCAGGGCGACGCGACCGACCCAGTGAACCGACTTTACCCCAAGCGCATAATCCCTTGGCTTGACTTCCCCCAGCTCCAGGAGCAAGTTTGGAGGAAATTCGACCGCACGGCTGCCTTTACCTCGCGCCCCCTCTTCCCTTCTGATACCCAAATAGATTATGTCGTTACGAATATCCAGAACAGGCCGATTTATTCGGAAGCGTCCCTTCGAAATTTTGAGCGTGACACGGTGGATAATTTTGTTGAATTGATTATCAAGGCGTTGCGAGATGATGAAGTCTTTCGACGTGAGCTTGGAATCCAGGGCCAGGTCACCTTTTACGACCGCGCAAACCCATCGGAAACTTCGCTGAAGGACAGCTTGGAGCAAATGAATCTCCAGGACGTGCGAACGCCCCAACGACTCGCGAACACTAGACCTGGGAGAGGCAGAGGAAGGGGAAGAGGAGCGGCACAGGGAAAGAAGAGGGATGGCACTGCACGAAGACGCAATCGTCGTGCAGACCAGTTCTGCGTGCACCTTGTGGCCGACGAACGACAACTCCCAGTGTATGCGGTGGAGTTCAAAGCGCCGCACAAGGTGACAGTCCCCGAGCTGGTGGCGGGTTTACATCAGATAGATCTGGCTCGCGATGTCATAGACCAGGAAGGTGACACGTTTGAGTTTTATGCCACCTGCCTCGTCGCCGCTGTGGTCACTCAAATATTCTCATATATGATCGACAGTGGGGTTCAATACGGTTACATCTGTACAGGGGAGGCTTTTGTTTTTCTCCATATCCCGAAGGATGATCCCACAGTTGCTCAATATTTCTTGTGTATCCCGAATCAGGACGTGCAGGCGGACGATGAATGGCGCCTCCACCGGACCGCCATCGGTCAGGTGCTTGCATTCACCCTTCAAGCGCTAGCCGCCGAAGCTCCGTCTCAAGAGTGGCATGATACGGCACGCGATGAGCTAAAGACCTGGAAGGTCGAATACCTGGACGTGCTGAGAAAAATCCCAGAAACGCTCCGTAAAGACCCCCCAGCCTCCAATTATCGACCCTCGCACTGGAAACTAGAGCCGAAGACACACAATACACGATCCCGTGCTCGTTGCCAACCAAACATGTCTACTCCGAAGCATTCTTCGACTGAAGGCAGCGGCAGTGATGCAGAATCGCATTCCCCATCCATCGCAGCAGCGGCGCGCAGCCGGTCGAGCCGGGGCCGAGGCAACAAGCACAAATCAACTAAGGAAAGCGAAAGCACAGGAGCCGGTCGGGACAACAAACAGACCTCTCGGAAAGACGGGCAGTCCACACGACCCTACTGCACAATTTCCTGCATCCGCGGCATAGTCAGCCGAGGCCCTCTGGATAAAGAATGCCCTAACTGGAAACTCCACGGTGGCCAGAGACACTCCATGGGACCGCAGGAGTTCACACGTCAGCTTCACCGTCAACTTGTCCGAAACCGAAACCACGGGTTTGAACAACTCCATGTCTGTGGTCGGACGGGTTACCTCATCAAAGCTACTCTTCTATTACACGGATACACTGTGATCATTAAGGCTACCACGATGGAGAAGCAGCATCTCCTTCAAGCGGAAGTGGACAATTATCGCTACCTCAGGAGCTTGCAGGGACACCAGATCCCCGTCTGCCTTGGGGCCTTTACACCCCGCGTTGCGTATTGGTACCATGGCAAATTAATGGCGCAGATGATACTACTGAGCTGGTCTGGAACCCGGCTTCAGCATATCATCAACGATGAGAATTTTGGATTCTTTCAACAGGAGCGCGACAAGGCTCTGACCGTGCTCCAGTCGCATGGAGTGGTCCATGGCGACAGTGAGTGGCGCAATATGTTGTGGGATGACCTAGGTAGCCGTCTGATTGTTATTGACTTGGAGGACATGAAATGGTTGAAGCGCCCTCGTACCCTTGCACCAACTTCTGGGAATGCACGGCATGGTCATCGCGCGAAGGTGGGAAAATCCGGGCAAAAGTTCTTGTCCAGCTCAACCGCTGTTTGCACATGACGCCCCAGGCCCACGGCCAGAACTCATTTGAGGCGATTCATGTTCTCGGCTTCCGATAATGAGTCGGAAGGAAGTTTTGATAAGTGATCGCACGTTCTGTTACTGGTCATAAAAACAATTTGCGCCAATTGTGGAAGGTATTCTGAATATATGTGATGAAAGCTCTGAAAAGACTAATTATTTGGCGACGTCAAACATATTTTCCTTGCTACGACTTTCTCGACCGCTCTTCTCCCTAAGCGTTTCACGTTTCAGTTGTTCCGGCCCCTCCTTCTCCTCCTTCTCCTCAATACCTTGCTTTCGTCACCCAGCTCTCCACGCAAGAGACAGCATCTGAAGGTGACTTCTTTCGCTCCAAAAGGAACGATAGGACTTCTGCTGGGCTGAATACTTGCTCCGGCATCTTGCTGGCGAAGTCACGAGCAAGTCCCTCGATCGTCTTGTCATCATATTCCTCATTGCATTGCTTTTGGTTCGGCGACTGCTTGAAGACCGTGTGGAAGAGCTGAGTCGAGATGTTCTGATCGGCAAGCTTGAAATGCACTTTCTTGTCTGAGCGCCCAGGCCGAATAAGTGCTTCGTCCAGATGTTCAATATGATTGGTCGTCATGATTAGTATCCGGCCTTCTTGAGATGATACACCGTCAAGCACATTCAAAAGGCCGGATAGGGTGACTGCTGACTTTGACTCGGTTTCTTGGTCTGCGTCAACGCTGTCCCTGCGTCCCACCCCAGCGGTATCGACGTCCTCTAAGAGAACAATACAGCGCGGCGGAAGCTCAGCAAATAGCTTCATGAGCTTGCTGTCCGAAATATTCGATAATTGAAGCATATAAATATCCAGTTCGTGCTTCCCCGCGAGTGATAGACTGAAGCTGGATTTTCCAGTTCCAGGGGGTCCAAACAGAAGGTAACCTCGTTTATACGGAATGCCACGTTCTGCGTACCAGTCTTGCATATCTTGGTCGAGAAACTCGTCCACGTCTCTTAAAACATCGTCCTTTACCTGCTTATCCATGATGACTGTGGAGATGGGTCGGACCGGTCTCACTCTGGCTTTCTTCCACTCTCCCTCGCGGTGTTCAAAGACAGAGACTTTTCTCTGCGTATCCTTGAGATACTTCTCGCGACACTCTTCGATGAGATCCTTCAAAATATTTGCATTAAGACCAATGGAAGAGATATAGAGATCTTCTCGATGCTCTTTGACCGCGCAGCGAAGGACAAGCAAATGCCCTTTATACCAAAACAAAAAAGATCCATCCCAAGGAGAAAAGGTCAACGGCTTTTTCTTTGTCGAACATTGGTTGTTTGCCCGCTGTGGAGATCTTACGCGAGCAATCAATGAGTGGGCATTGTGGACAAATGGTTGGTCAGCTATCCAATCAACTAGCATATCGTATGCTTCGTCGTAATATGAGACATAAATTGTCGATGCTTCAAATTGTCAGTCCCATCCGACAATGACAGGAGGTATACGAACTGAAGTAACTTCTCACTATCTCCCAAACATAGCGGACTGCATAGCGGGCGAAGAGGATAAAAATCCCGAAAGTACAAAGAAGTCGTGTGTAGCTGTCCGGGTCGCCAGCAAGCAGCTGGCGTGCGGAGGCAGAGACCATACTGAAACCGGGAAAGATGATATCTATCGGAGACATTTGGGAGGAGCTGTGGTAGGAACCACCGTTGATGGTGTTCATTGTAAAGAATGACAACAGTTTCCGAGAATGATTATATAGGTGCAGCTATAACGTTTCTTGAGAAGATGATTGCGAAATATTCAACTCAAAGTTACTCGACAGTATCGGGTTCCTTTATATGTTGGGGATCAGGGAAGAATGAATGGCTCTTATACAGACCTTGTACATGCAACAGCGCCAATCTCGACCGCCTCGCCCCTCGTTCATTCATCATTCTCACAAAAAACAACGTGCGTATGGCTGCACCAACTATCTTGGGAAAGATCTATCACAGTCACAATCTCGAATCCGGATAGTGTTGCCTCTAACGAGGTGCTGTCCCCGCAAATCTTGCGGTGTGAAGGAGGTGTAAGATCAAACCAATGTCAAAATATCCTGAAAAGGGAGGCAAAATGCTCGAGACACGCGCCCCATCACAAGTTCTGGCCCCATCTCCATGCAGTGGCCTTGCATTGCAGGATCCACACCCCTGTTGACTGGGAGCAGCTGAGTACCCCGCTCTGGTCCAAAGTGACTTAAAAGCTGGGCAATTTGCCCACATAACCCCGACTAGGTGTACCTCCCAGTGATCAGTCCTTTTTTCCCAACAGTCTTCAGCAGCAAATCCTCGCATATCATGGATACCTACATTCGAATGATCAGCTCCTTGGACGACTTTGATCCTCAGGCTTTGGCCCCCGAAGATTTGGAGACAACTTTAACATCTCTGAAGCAGCAGCTGCTGAAAACGGAGGCTGCGAAACTATTGTTGCCTGCGAAGGAGACCTCTTTCAGTCGTGTTGCATTGGGGAGACTATCTCATTTACTGAATTTGGTGTTTAGGCCTGATAAGCAGCACGAACCGAAACTGGCAGCTCTTAGGGAATTGGACTCTGTGTCTTTGATCATTTGTGGGCTGAGTCTTACCCAAAAAGCCATCGAGGTTATGCGGAAAGAACTCTTCGATATCTTGCTCGAACAAGCTGTGATCGCTTCTCAAACAACTGTGAAGATTATCGCCAAGAGTGATGAAATAAACAAGGTAGTCCTGAGCTCATCGGCCGACGAAGATTTTCTAAAAAGCAAGTTCTATCGTCCGTATCTTGCAACACATAGCTAACGTGGTCATAGATTATATCAGTCTGAGACGAATCGTTAATGGCACTATACGCCCAAGTCTTCAATACTCTCTCTGCGGAGGACCGTCCTGGTGCTATACTACGATCATCAAGCCGGAGTCTATGCAGACTGCATTCCCTCGGTTGCTTATTAAAGCTGTCCGCGGCTACGTCACAACTTTTCTCCCATCCGAGGGATCTACGGATGGATTAATCAGAGTAATGATTATGTTTGATCAGAGCCTCCTTCAAAATCTATTCGGCTGTGCAGAGAGCGACACAATGGCTGCTGGTAAGTGACTTCCAGATCGCACTTGGCTAGTACTGACTTAGAGCAGAGCGGTTTTCCGTCGGTTGCGCTGTGAAGAATCAGATAGCTGTGGCGTTCGGAGATGATGTTTTCGAAGCTATTACAAGCAGTCAAGCCTGGAGTCAGGAAACCGGGGAGATTGAGACTAGGTGTGTGAAGGCAGATATATATCCAGCACAACTCATGATGATCAGTTTGACGGTTGGCTGGACATCATGTTACAATTTTGTAAATTCAATCTACCGGTCGTGATTTCGCCGAAACCCCCTTCGCCCTGACCCGTATGCCTGGTGGTAGCTTCATCTGTCCACTCCCCTCTGCTCGAAATAGGGTCGAGCCATCCCCATCCTGAAACAGTATCTCCTCGCAAGATTCGCATGCAAAAAATTGTTCTTCGGTCAGGGACGCATCGATCTGGTGAGCGGCTCTCTTATCCGACTCTTGAAATGTGGCGGTGGTGAAATCTTGCCAGCGGCTCGCCTGCTCAGGTCAGAAAGAGTATCATAAACACAAGGACATGTGCCATACCAAGTCGGACTTTGTCACCTTCGCTTCATTTGCCATCCGATAGAATCAGGGCACCAAGACTAGTGCACCGCGCGGTTGCCCAAAACGATCGAATGTCGAAACGTGCGTTCTTCGGGGATAAAGGTGACCGGCTGCGTTCACTAAAAACGTATGGATTGTCGCTAGTAATTGTGAGATGTCGTTAAAATTGATGTCGTCGGCTGGCCGCGGCGAGAATATCAGGACGTTGGTCGTTTGGGCTTGACTGAGGGGCAGAAAGTGTCGAAGACGACATGATTACTAAGACTGCCCGATACTGCCCGTTACTGCCCCAAGTTAGGCATCCATACTTCGCGCTTCATCTTGAACCAGAGAATGCTAAGTCATAAATCAGCCGTCAGATGTCTCTGCGAGACATTTCATTCGATGTCAATGTTTCTATCTGGTCTGATATACGTAAGCCTGCAAGAGTAGGAACTGCGGATGTCGGCAGTCTAACAACAATGCGGTATCCGGTAAAAGAGGATAGTTCGCATTACGACCGAAATTGATGGCCAGAACTCCTCCAAAACCATGGCAAAATGACCGAGACAAGGGCTGCATGCATCATGAGCATGAGCTAGAATGCTATGCGGATCTTGTATGCCGCTCCAGTCAAGTTTCCTCGAAGGCTAGGCATTTTGCCCCAAAATTTCCTTCTCCGCAACATGTAACCCACCCCATTGTCCTGTTCCTCCTCGGTGGCTCTTGAATTAAATAAGACAGAGCCAAAGTGATTAATGCAAGCCTAGCAAATGTATAAATCCCTACTTAAGCCAGGCTCAGGAAAAGAAAGGTATGGTTTTTCCTATTCGAAACAACGCAAATATCAAAAATTCAGGAAAAGATGTCTTTCGAGGTGATTTTCCAACTGGCTACATCCGCAACAGCATCTTTCTGTTGTGGAACGAGTCTTCTTGTTTGGCTCCTGTCTATCAAGGCCTTCAGCCTACCAAGATTGAGCAGAGATTTTCTCATCTCCAGCCAACTTATTATAGGCAGTGCCGCCTTTTTGGGGCTGATCGGATCTATTCCGCTCGTATTGTTTGAATTGAAGTGGACGAAGGGTAAAAATCCAATCTCCCTTTTCTCAATTCCTATCGTACCTAACTCTATTCCAGGCCTATCTTGGCCAATACTACAGCAGGAAATTGGCAGTGTATTTCTTCTCCTCATTTTAAATGAGGTAAGTGCATTGAATCTGAAAGAGAGTGACACTGACCTCTCCAGTACCTAAGTGTTTCTACTTTGCAATCCTCGTTAACCTATATAATATGCCTTATTATTGATGGGAACAATTACTATTCTATCACTTTCATTGTATTTTCCGGTGCGATTCGACTGATAATTCCTACCGTGCGTGCTTAATTGACCAAAAATGCAGGAGCACCACAATGCTTTGTTTTCTTCATATATGGTCATCAGCTTGGCTAGTCTCAGCTTCGTCCATGCCCAAATCATTCGAGCCTGGGTCATTTGCTTGAGGCCATGGCATATGCAAACAAGTATTTTCAAATTGTTTTGGCGAAGTCCGGACCTCAAAACTGCCAAGCACCAACGAGCCTTGTGGGGAGCTTCCATTGGTTCAATGGGCCTACTTCTCGTTTTATTAGGCTTGACAATCCTTGCCTGTATAAAAACTAACCTGCAGACTCAGATTGTGACGGTACGTGCCTTTGACTAGTTCATCATCATATGCTACTTACATGCTCCATAGCTCCAGATTGCTACAATAAGCCTAAGAAAGGCGGCAGTTTCATTCTACCTCTTCCGAGCCCCGGAACGCAGTATGGAAGTCTTACTTTCGCATGGACACGTTCAACAATAAGACCAGAATATAGAGTAGCGTGCGAAAGTCTACAACAAAGGATACGTCTGTGTCACATAAGAGAAATTCAAGACTATCGTCACTTATTAAAATGCAGCAAAGAAGTAGGAGAGCCAATTGCTCACATTTTATACTTTGAGGCTGCCTCTGAAAAAATACCTAGAACAAAGGCCTCATGTGCTTATGCCTTCACGGTGCAGCCGTCCGGGTCGTATGCAACTCCATCTATTGGACGCCCGCCATGTACCCGCTCTGGTCAATGTTGCTCGAAAGTTAGGTATTTTGCCCGAGGACCCCCTGTCCGTAAAATGCGACGCATCTATCCGTCCTTTTCTCCCTTCGAATTCTCTGCACAGACCCAGTAAATGACAGCCAGTGACAGGGTACCCCTCTTCAACTAAGCAGATTTTGATGCACTCAACCGCATGTTTGCTGCGTTTTCAAGCCCTGATGATGGTCTTCCAGAAACGGATGGAAATAGGCTAGTGCATAAATTATCACAGCGCTAATGAGATTTCTAAGTCACATTCCTCCACGGACTTTCAACTGCAAGCTGGAAACCACGTCAGCTAGTGTGATACATAGTAGGTTAAGAACCTCACTGACCTGGTAAATGACAGGGTTCCCCTCTTCAACTGACGAGATTCGACGCACTCAGCCGCATGCACGCTGCCATTCATCTTCACAGATGCTCTGAACAAGGAGGAAACGCCCTCGGTGGGGCTGATCCATGCTTTTCGCATCCACAGCGCACGGATAGGGGCCTTGGACCCAGATTGGGTTTCGCCGAAGCCTAATGATCAACAAAGCCACTCAGTAATATCGATTGATTGGTGCTCGTGAGCCATAATTAGCGCCAAATGTAGGGGCCGTCACCCTCGAGTTTACAGGGAGGCAGCCTCAGTAATCCCATATGCATTATAGACCCGTCAGAAACAATCTGATGCTCACAACACTACACTTAATATAATGAACTCGCCTGATGTTATGCCCAGGTGACCTGTCATGTCTATTACCCCGCTTTCTTGTTGTATAAAGAGAGTGCGAAAGTAACGATTGTCCCTTGAATTTCTCAAGAATCACTCTCGTGGCTTTGTTTCCTATAATATCTGGTCAACAGACTACCTACTCTGCACGGTCTCTATTGGATTTGGATTCTCAAACCTTGATCGTTGAAAACCACTTCTCTGAACCGCTTCTCTCAAGCGTATACCTAATTGCCAGAGTCCTTACAAGTACAGTACACGTGCCCTCTATTGCAGATCGGTGGTCTCCCAACTAATACATGTATAGTCCCCGCCTCCATCATGACTTCCGAATCCGACATAACCCATCCCGTGGACGCGATCAAATGTTGCACCTGCGGACAGGAGAAGGGCATGGTCCATGGAGATTGTGGGGCTTGTCCTTCTTGCTGCAATTGCTCCAAGAAAAAGGACTGAATGGTCGGAGGCGGGAGGGTGAATAGCTGCAATTTTTGAACTGTCACTGAAGCTGCTTGACCGACAACCAGTCGTAAAAATTCTCCTGAATAATGACTCCGCGGGCTCTCCTGAAACGGTTTACGAAATCTACCGCAGCGCATAAGAGATGGGAGAGACCAAGTAGCAGGAATTATACATATACATAAGATTGCCGTTCTGAAATTCATCTCATATTTGCGATCGTTTGTGATCCACCGTCACTAGATATAAAATTACGTGAACTTAGGCTCCTTGCGAATCCAGAGGTTGCTGGCGTCTACAATACAAATGTAGTCCTTTCAGTGCAGAGCATATTTCAACGTCATCAGAATGGCTTGGAAGGCTATAGGCATCATAATCCAGCCACATTTGCCTTGTTCTCGGAGATTCAGCATCTGCCAATGGTTTTCTGTGAAGTGCAATGGTTAGACAAATCCGAGGATCGATAAAAGCGAACTTACTCATTGCCATTGAAGACTTCAAAGCCGGTGGAAACAATGAGCACAGGCCGAGCAAGGTCGGCGATAATCTGCTTCACTGGGGCGGCAGCAAAGGGTGATATTATGATCGATTCCTCGTCAATTTCCGCGAATCCTCCTGCACCGTGAGTTCCAACAATTTTGAATTCCTTCTTGGTCAGGATCTCTTCCGCGACCTCTGTATAATCTGGGTCCTGAGCAAGTAATGGCAATGTTTTATTGCCACGACAAAGTTGAGCGATAGTGAGAGCCATCGAATGCTGGATCATGCAACCCATAACATTTTTCACCTCAGAGTTCTCATCCCAAGAGCCGTGCTGCCTTTTTAGCCATTCAGGCGCGGAGCGGCAAAAATCACCGAGCCCGAAGCAGAGAACTTTCTTCACAGTGTTTTTACCGAGTATATCTTGGACCAAGGCTGCCAAGTGCTTGCAGGTCTTGCTATTCTGCCACAACAAGTGTTTCTCGTCAAAGACTTGCATAGGCTGTGCTATAAGCTCTCGGAAGTTTCGTGCAGTCTGATTGCTCCAATCCACAATGTAAGAGCACAGGTAAGTTTCATGTGGGCCGTTGGGTTGTGCTTTCACAAGTTGCCAATATTCTTGGTACTTGACATGGGGTTTCCTAAGGAAAACTTAGATTTCAGGCTCAAATTGGGTCAGAAGACCATACCCACGTACCAGATAGGATTCTGTACTTGGAACATGGGATTGGAAATTTGGATTATGCTTCCATCGATTCGACGGACTGAAAATCGCTCCATTGCATAGGATTGGCGCAATTGTTGTTCTATGTCTTCGAGATCTTCTTTCGTCCAAAGCCTGGTACCAGAACTGTACAGATCTGCGACTCTTTGGCTACTGATCCGCCAATCCGTGCACCCGTAGTCGAGCGGTCTTAGAGTTTGTGGCATGGTCTCGTAGCTGCTGATCGAGCAAAGGTGAGGAACAAACAATACGATGAGTTGCCGGGAGGAAAAAACCCAAGATTGTTTGGAAAGGGGAGAAATTTATTCGTGTACAAGGATCAGAAAAGAAAAGGCTAGGACTGAGCTGTGATACTCAATGATTGTCTGCTTTTGTGTATGGGTACCAGTGTCGATACGGTGACAACGTTTGCTTTGAGGGATCAAGAAAAATTCGACCACTCTTCTGCTGACTACTTACCTAACTACTTAAGTACTAGTTAGTTAGGTAGGTAAGGGGGTCAAGAAAAATTCCCAGGCAAGAGGAAGCGGTGATCGGTCTGGGGCCACATCCAATGTCATGCCACCAAATTCTATACCGCCTTATACTCTACTGCCAATCGGAACGAGCCCCTCATCCCGATTCCCGACATCTTGAATTGCTGATGGGGGCGTGCCCCCGTATTTCGTCGTGCAACGCTCTGCAGCACGGTTTGACCTATCATATTTCCGAGCAACCCAGGAAGAATGGATGAACGAATAATGTTTTGTCTTCTCGGGAGAACGGGCTCAGAACATAAGTTCTATGCGCGTTGCCTGTATAGCCTGACGAAGGTTTACAACTATGTTCGCGTAGTAACATCTAGTAAAGTATTTCACATACGGCCCGGCCACTCGAAACACATATTGAATGCGATAAATTACAACTTGGTATCTCAACAGCGGTAGCCTATAGTTATAGAGTTGTCGTTATATCGGGCGAGTTACTACCGATTTGCTAAAGCTAGTTCCCTTTCGCTCACTAGATTGACTAAGTATCAATATGTATGTCCAGAGTTTACTGTCAATACATATAGAAATACCTACATCTGCACACGACAACTTACCTCTCTCTGCCTGGTTTGTAACGCATCATAAGCAGGCTTACAAAAGAGGAGTCTACTTACCGGCAGTACAGAAAGCATCGAGATATGCGAGCGAACCATCCGGCTGGCCCATCCGCACACGTCGCACCACGCCTTTCGCGTCAAATATTAGTTCCATTATGGCAGAAAAATCCAGCCATCCTCGCAGCGCGGATCACATACAAATCAGCGTCAGAGAAATTATGAGCCTCCTATCGAAAGGTTTGCCAGAATAGGCTCTCGAGTGCGCAGTAGCGATCGTAGTAGTGCCACACTTCTGAATCCGTCCGGCCCAAAAGATTCTCGAGCCCATATAGCGCGAATCCGAATGGCAGAATCCTTGATTCAGCCCAGTCGATAATCCCTGTGATATTTCCGGTTTTCGGATTGACGTCACCGTGGCTAAGGACAAAAGGGAAGGCTTTTGAGATGAGTGACGGGAGCTCCTTGCGGACCCTTTCCAGGTTTGGTGCAAAGCGATACGGCAGCTTTCGAGCAAGAAGGTCATAATTTGATTGGAACTCCATAAGCAAGGTCGCGGTTTCATCTGAGCATGGCCGTAGATCGTTGTTCCATGACTGTGAAGAACAAGTTCTAAAATGTTAGTTCTTTTAAAATGAAGCAAAAACTTTGCTAGGCGTACCTTGCGAAGCCCTTGATAGTGTTACACCGTCGGGACAGATCGAGGAACTCGTGCCATTATGCGCGCAGTCCCAGGAAGATGCTCCATCTTGTAGATATAGAATGGCCGCGAATCGCCCATGGTGCAGCTAGCCACAAATTCGGGATGAATTCCTTTGGCAAGGGTAATGTTACCCATATCAATGATAGAGTTCTCACCTCGGAACTGGAAGAGCTTGGACTCGTTGGGCCCCGCTGTCACAGTATAACTGCACACTCCTTGCATCTGCAAAGCAGTGGACACACCACCAGCGCGAGAAATGGCCAATTCATCGCATTGCTGTCTGTTACAGTAGTGTTCGAGTTGAAGAATCCATCAATTGCGCCGTCAGGATTGCAAAGAACATAAGTCGTCAACATAAGTCGTCATTGTAGTGAAGGGAAGTAGGACGGGGAGGGAACTGGGAGATAATGTAAAGAGAAGTGAGAACGGAGTGGACTGCTACAATCAGCCTTAAGACTCACCGCCATTTAATACTGTCCGCGAGCCTACCACGAAAAACCCCCCGTTGCTGTACCAAACGTCCCAACCATATTAGGTATAACTCATTGATATGGAATCCCAATGGATCCCGCCTGTTGAGTATCCCATACTCGACGAACTGGAACTGTTGCGAGACTAGAGGCAGCGAGAACAACTGCACCGGGCAACCACGAAGGTGACTAGAATAGCGGTTGAACGTTCCAGCTAGCTGAGGAATGGAAATCAAATGATTGGCTTGCCCATAGATAACGACAATCTTTCTGCACTCCAGCGCCGCTCGCACGATTCTCGTGTCTCCAGAGATGATATACGGGAAAGCATCCACTAGTCATAATCGTTCGGGAATGGGGGAATTGCGGGATGGATCATTTCATTGCCTGGAAGGTTTCCAGTCTGGATGTGATTTCCAGAATCGGCACCTTGAGGACGCTGGCCAGCCATAACAGTAGACGGTGACGGAGGCGCGGGAGGTGGAATTATTCTTCTATTAAGCGTAGACAATCTCAACCAGAACCTGCAATCCAACCCATTGCAACCAAGGACGCCAGTGTGGGGCAGAGGCTGAAAACAAGACAGGTCCATACCGAGAAGTAAGATCTGAGGTGCAATGCATCTTCCAGGCAACAATTCCCGCTACGCTCGCTGATGGCCCTCGCAGCGCATGCCCATGATAGTCATCTGCCCGTTCTTAGCTGTTTCTCCGTTCGGAAGGTGACCATGATATGGTTTCCGCAGTTGCAGTCTGGCATTGACCATAAGATGCAGCATCGATCAAGGCCCAGGGCGTGTGCGGCATTTTCGCTATTGGCCCACATGACCGAGCTGTCATTTCGAGTTTTCACCGACAGGGTGGAGAGGAACCGGAGAGACTGACAACTGGGTGCTTGGCCAGGCAACCGGGAGCCATTCTGCGAAGCCGGGCTGTGCAATGCAACCTCAGGTGGGGCTACCGGAGAGGGATATTCAGCTTCGAGGGTATACCGGCACTTTGCAGATGTGAAGGAGGTCCGCGGTCATCAGAGACGGAAAGGCGCACTGGCAGAGGGAGACCTAGATATCTTCGTAGCATGGTGCTCAATCACTACCCTAGGGAAGGAGTAGGATTACCGATACGAAAGAACAGGATGCCGTATCATCCCAGGGGTTACGGTCCCGGGTGACAGGCATTGCAAGCTGGGTGTCGGGTCGAGCGGCTTCTCCGGTAAAAAAGAAAGGGGCAGTGCGTCGGGCTGAAAGCAAATGCGCAGTAGTCGGTGGGGGCAGAGTAAAAGAAAGGGGGCGGCGATGAGTGCAAGATAGAGGGCTTGGAGGGAGGGGAAGAAGGGAAGCAGAGGGCGAAAGTGCGCGATCGCGTCTTTATGTCAAGGCGGCACAGGGAGAAGGTTACAAAACAGCGTATTGGGGTGCTAAGCCGGAAACGGCAAAACTAACCGGATCTAGTAATTCACAGGTCCCCATATTACTGGAAGACGCGCGCGTGGCACGCATCGGCCCTGAAACGAAAAGGCAGGGGAGTGGTAAGAGATAGAATTGAAAAGCGACGTTAAAATGTATCATATAAAGTTCGAAATCAAATGCAAGACTGGCATAAAATCCACAGGAGCCAATGAAGAAGCTCCCGGATGATTAATATCCGCAACACGAACTGACATAAACCTCGTTTCCTCGGCCGTATTCTCATTTAGACTGTGCAAGTATATCGGCGTATGAAGTCTTTCTTGGTCTCTGTGAACGCCTTTCAGGAGTTGGTGTACTTGTCTGTCGAGCACTTTCGGTTCCATCCAGCGTGTCAGCCCACGTAATCTGAGTACTTTCCTTATCCTCGTCAACCGGCGTATTCGCTCTGATAGATTCTGCAAACTGACGATCATGAGATTGGGAAGCGGATTTGGACGGGGTTGTTGGCTCAGCTCTTTGGGACCATCGGTCAACGCGCTTCCTTTTCCCGGTTGCAAAAGAAGGGGTTGGCGGAAGACTATTCGTTGACGTTGGCAGGAAATGGATGTCATCTGTTACAACAGCCAACTGTCGATTTTCTTTTGTGAGGCCAAAGATACGACCGGTAAAGAACACATGGGAATTCACACTGAGCGGCGGAAAATTTGCCCAACGCTGCCCATTCTTGAAAAAAGCCGTGACGGGAAAAGTATGAGAGGTGCGGGTTGATGGGTTGTAAACTGTTGTTTGAAGACGATAGTGAAGTAAATTCCGTCCGTCGTTCAACTGTCCTCTCCGTTCAAGGACAACCCCGAGAAAGGTGACTATAGGCTGTGCAGCACCGGGACAGTGCATAAAATAGACATCTGTATCTTCTTGATTACCCGGGTGGCTGTATGGAATCAGTGAACTACTCGGATTAGTATGTTACACAGGTACCGACCGGTCCAAATTATGAGCATGGAGTATAATGTGGAAATCATCATCTTCGGACGATGTAGTCAAAAAGGCTCCAGATGAATAAACAAAAGTATTGGGTTGGTAAATGTCGGATCGATTACCCTCGTTGAAAAATCTAATCAAAGTAGGGATTTCACTCGATTCAACCTCATCTGATTCGATATCTTTGAATGGGATGTTTAGGGAGACACGTAGTTGCATCGAGAGTGCTTTACCCGGGCGCGTTGGATCCGGCTCAACGTGTTCGACGAAATCACGCACATGAAGAATAGCGGGCGAGGGTTTATTCGACGACATATCAAAAGAAGACAATCAAGCGCGACGGAATAGAAAGGGGACTATGCAATAAACGAGAAAGTCATACAGAAGGAAGAGCGGGGTAGCAACAAAAAAATCCGTGACGGTCGAGACAGTTAAAGCAAGCCTGCAGATACGAGCGAAAATGTGATGAGTCCTAAAGGCGAGCCAATCGTGCGAAGCGGCGGTGTATGATGATGATGATGATGATGTATTCATTTGCCCGATGTAGCTCGCTCTATATATATGCTGCTATGCGGGAGTGCTGTCAGGCCTGCCGACAGCTGGAAGGTGGTCACCAGCCCACTGGGCGACCGTCAGGGAACTCGCCTTGCGAATTTCTGATCAATCGTCCTCGAATCGAAAGATGTAAACCAAACAAAAGAAATGCACAGATGCAAACATGATAAACACAAAGCCGACTTGTACGTCATTTACCCCTGGTCGCGGGTAGGACCAGGGCCCCGCTTCAACACACCATTCCCACGCCCTCTTCTCTTCACCTGTCCAGTCTTGTTGGCTGCCGCTTGCGCGCTCGCTTGGATCAAGGGAGTACAGTGGACCTGGCACTGTACTCCTAATGGGCGCCATCCTTCTTCTTCCGTCACACTGTCTAAGGGATCATTATCTCCGCTCCTTGGTCGTCCCCTTCCTCGCCCAGAGCCGTAGGGTCGACTGTCTGAAATTGGCCTAGGAGGCCAGTCTTGACCATGAATTCGGCCACAGCCGTGCGAGCCTCCGGTCGTGTCAGGAGTTCGTCTCGACTAAGAGTAATTCCCTTGTCGGAAAGAGCGCTTCTCATCCAGTCTCGCTCGTCCTGGTGCGAGGGGCATTCCAGCAGGACGTGTGTTACTGTTTGGCTGCCAAGATCGCAGTCACACCGCGCTGTTTCGCGTCGGTTGATACGATTCAGGTAAGCCCCTAGGCCAATTCGCCCAGTTCTAAGCTGCATCAGAATCGAGCCCGTTGCTTTTCGCAGGCCCGACCAGTATTCTAGCGTCTTCTTGGTTGGTGCTTCAATCAAGCGTTTTGTCGGTCGACTGGTCGTTTCCTTGGCCCACGTCCTGCCCCACTCCAGCTTCGCTTCTCTGCGGATTCGCCGTTTCGCTGCGGCTGCGAGGCATATACCTCGGTTGCGAGGGTTCTGTGGGCCGTCCGGTTTTTGGGCTGCTTCTTTTGCGTGTTGGTCCACAATCTCATTGCCAATGACCCCTTGGTGCGCAGGAATCCATCTGAGCTCAACTCGGACGCATCTGCCAGCAAGCCGCTGGATCAGGCCGAGGCATCCTGCTAGATAGATCTGTCCTGACGGCATCCCCGGTCGCCTCAGCGCCTTCAGCGCTGCTTGGCTGTCTACAAAGATGACTATCCCGTTCTTCGCCTGCTTAGCCCATGGCTCTGTGCTTTCCAGAACCATTTCAAGAGCCATCTCAATGGCTCGAAGTTCTGCCGCATATACGGTGGACGTATTATCGTCTCCCATCTGGCTGTGAACATGTTGATCCTCAAGGCCCACGACCGCTGCCGCTCCGATCTTTCCATCAATTCCGCTCCCATCAGTGTACAGAATCAAGGGTCTTGCTCCTGGGTCTTTCGTCAGGATTTGGTTGTGATTGTTAACCGCAGCTTCTCTGTCCTCGATGATCACCTCTGGTGGCGCTTGCCATGGTGCCAGGACGAATGCCTTTCGACTCTCCCATCCTCTTGTCAAAGTATTCGGGGGAGCCGTAAGACATCCGCCCGCCTTCCAAGCTTGCGCCTCCATTGGTGTCCATCCAGCCCAGTCTCTCTCATCTGCCGGTCGGCGACGTAACATCGTTGGTGGGACAGCGGACTCTGGTCCTGTTCGTAGTCGAAGGGCCGTTTCTTTCACCAGTCGGTTCATGTGAACAGAGATAGGCGGTAGGTGAAGCTCGGTATTCAGTGCTTCGGCTGCCGTACTTTTGAAAGCCCCACTGATCAGGCATGCTGCCTGTTTTTGTATTGCCGCGAAAGGCTGACTGATTGTGCGTGCTTTGTAATTACTGATGAGCGTAGGTTGATACCACGCGGAAACCCCAAAGAGCATCTGCGGGATGATCACCGCTTGGTAGATCTTCCGCATTGCATAGAGTGAGGCTCCCCACGTTGAACCCGCCAAGCTTCGTAGTGCGTGGAGAGAGACGCCGGCCTTGGTCACCGC